AAAAAAAAAAAAAAAAGTACACACTTCCTATTGTAAAGTAAATAAGTAACCGGGATGTAATGTATAGCATAAGGAATATAGTCAAAATATCGTAACAACTTGGTATGGTGATAGCTGGTACCTAGAATTATCATGTATATAAATGTTGAATCACTGTGTTGTACACCTGAAACTAATGTAATACTGTGTGTCAACTACCCTTCAATAAAAAATTATCTAAAAAAAAAATATTTGTTGAATGAATAAAGTATCTAAAAGGGTTATTTGATTTTTTTCCTTTTTATTTGAATCACACACCAGGTGTTTTCTTTCTAAGCAATGAATTCTATCTTTCTATTTATATTGCTGTCCAGCTGTGTTGCATTATGTACCCCCACTTCACCTCACCCCCACCCTCCACCCATAGTAAAGTCTTTGAGGGATGGTCTTGGGCTTGGATTTTTGGGTCTTCGTGGATGAGCACTGCAGGCCTGGATAAAATGCTCATTGCAGAACTTGCTATTGCATAAGATTTTATTCTAGAATTAGGTGAGGAAGGGTAGAAGGTAAGAAAAATGAGTTGATGCCAAAATGTTGGGATACAGAGTTGATCTTTGAAATTTAAATTATAAATCAAGCCAATCAGAGCAAAGACATACAAAATGCCCCCACAAAGAGAAATAAGGATTTCTAGACCTACAAGACCTAACAGTACTGTTTACCCAGTAAGGCCTTGATCTACCTAAAAAAGACATGTGACCATCTGAAGAGGGGCAACATAATAAAGAGCCTTGACAGCACAGATGGAGGCTCCACTGGGCACCATCCCAGCCAGGCCAGTGTGACTCCAGTCTCCCCAGGAGGTTGTTTGACTTTTGGTGTAGAAGAAGACATACCTAGGCTGCCCAAGGCCGATACCATTAAACACGTATGATAATTAAGTCTTATTATTCAAGCTTGCCACCTTCTGACAGCGAGGCTCCAAATCGCAGTTGTAAGAACAGAATGCTCTCATCAAGCAACTGCAAGGGTCTTGTGTTCCCAACAGTGTTGCTTCTAACAGGAATGGTTCTAAAACTCCAGGTTTTAGAACCAGACATCCTTTATCTGAACTCTTGACTCTACAACTGACATGCATACAAACTGTGTGACCTTGGAGATCCCACTGGAAAAAACATCACAACATACCACAATTATAGGGAGAATTAAATGAAGCAATGTATGTAATGCACCTAGCAAATCCAGCAAACAGCTAAAGAAATCAAATAAATTGTCATTCTGGTTTTATACAATGCTGATTTTTAATCAAATTGTATTGGGAATACAGAATCTTATCGATGTTTTCCAAGTAGAAACGCTTACAAAGTGATTTTCAGATTTCAGTGTCTGATGCTAGACAGAGCTACAGGGACTTCTGTCAAACTTTGTAGCGTTGCTCTACTCTGACAAAACCCGGTCGGGTGGCCTAATTACAGGGGCTCATTGCCAGGCTAAGCGTGAGGTGCCTTCCCAAAAGGCTTTAGTGCCTCTTCAGTCCTTCTAAATCAAGATTACACAATCCAGACTTTGAAACCTATCCTATTACTACAGAGACTTTCAATTTTATCAGCTGACCAGTAGAGAATGGAAGCATCCAGAAAAACAATGACTGATCATTTGATTGCCTGACTACCTCACCAACGTGTTTCCTGAGGGCAGAGACCATTATCTATTTTTGTTCATTACTGAATTCCAGTAATGAACTGATGGCTGCAATCAAAGAATCCACCTAGAGGCTAACAGAAAATACCTATCGTTCTAGTATTTTCTCCCTTCACATTTCATTTAATTCCTACAACCCTGAGGTAGGCATGGTCATTAAGTCTTCTACAAGGTTAGAAACTAAGACCAAGGGAGTAAATATTTTTCCCCATATCACACATCCAGTAAGTGTACCTGGGAATCTCTAAATCCTTGGGTATTGATGGGCACTTTAAACAAGGGAGTCCAAACCTTAAGCTTTTTGTTCCATTTTTTTCGTATCAATTGGAGGGTCCCCCATATCGTCATCACTGACTTGATTTCTCCGCCCACCCAAGATGAGGAGACGGGCACCTCACTGTCAGGAGCAGGCTGTTCCAAGGGACGGTGCCGCCAGCTCCGCAGAGGGGCCAGTGCGCATGCCTGGGCTTGGGAGCTGCGGGACCCCTGGGGTCTGCGAGGCAAACGGGCCCCTCGGAGGCTAGTTCCCAGCGCCGGCCAGCACCCGCCCCCTCAGGTCAGAAGCCCACGAGGCGCCGCCAGCAGTCAGGTCCCGGGCGGGCTGCCAGCCGCGAGGCCCCAGCAGGCGCTGGCTGCGGGGCAGATGCGGGAAGCCGCCGCGACCGGCCGAGACGCCGCGGGCCTCTCCACTCGCTGCCCGGCCCCCCGGCCCCCGGCATCCCGCCCCGGGCCCCGCCGAGGCAGGTGCGGCCGGGAGGTGCGCCAGCGTTCTCTCGGGAGGTCGGGGCTCCGGCCCGAAGGCCGCTCGGCCGGCCGCGCGCAGACCCGAGGCCCGAGGCCCCCGCCCCTGGCGGCCGGCCTGCACCCCGCGCTCCCCGCGCGCTCGGGCCCGGTCCCGCCTCTCGGCAGGTTTCGCTTTCGCTTTCCGGGCACTGTCGTTAAGGAAAATGAAAGTGGCCGTGGCCAGGCCCTGCGCGGCTGCCGTCGGGGCGAGGGGCGCAGAGTGCGGGGCGGCCGGCCTGGAGCCGGGAGCCGGGAACCAGGGCCGCAGCCTCCGCCGGTCGAGGTAAGCGTACCCCTTTGCGGCCGCCTCGCGGGCTCCTCCTTGCGGACCGGGCGGGTGGGGCGCCAGGCGGCTGGGACGCCGGCCGGCCGGCAGGGGTTGCTCCTTGGGACCGGGAGGGCCTGAGACGCGGCGGCGCGGGGGCTTCTTGGTTTCGAGCCTCTAGGCCGCCGGAAAGACCTCGGGGAGCTCAGACCAACAGGGAGGGACCTGACAGCCCGGGGTTGAGATGGGACCGTGGCCAGTCGGGCCACCGTCTTCTGCACACGTTTCCTTTTTGTGGAACACCACCCCCACCCCCAGTCCCACCACGGGGTTCGGTAAAAATCAAAGTAGAGGATGTAGTAAAATGCCGAGCAGAGTGAGTGCCTCTCCCGAACTCAGCAGGGAGGACCCTTTCTTACCTATCAGCGACTCCTCTTCCCCACCTAGCCCCACCTTCTTGTAGTTGGGCTTTTAAGTTTTTCAGATCTTGTGTACACCGGCACACTTGGGGTGCCTTCCAAGCGTTCCCTGAACTGGCAGGCTTGCAGCTCGCCTCTCTGCATTGTAGGTTTGGAGAGCAATTGGGCCAGGATGCCGCCCCTCTGCTTGGACGCCAGCCCCGGGCTGGAATCAATCAATGGGCAGGGAAGGGTGCAGTCAGGGACCCAGCCCTCCCCGAAGCAGGAAACGCTCCGTCCACTGTGTCCCCCAGCAGAAGGGTGAAAGATGAGTGCCCAGGTCTTTGTTCTGGGTCAAAGATACGCGCTCATCTGTGGCATACAAGAATGGCTGTGGAGACAGTTCCTGGCAAGATAAAATACATGTGCAAGTTGTTGCATATATAAGGCCTGTTGTGTGGGACGGGCATAGATGGAAGAAGGCACTAAATGTCGAATGTGACTCAGTCTGTGGGTACTTGACTCACACTTGAGTGATGGCAGTTTTCATAGCCAATACCAACAACCCCCTCTTGCTTAACTTTGTCTCAATACAAATTAGCCTAATCGCTTGGATCTGATCGTAAAGCCCATTACTGAAACAAAACTTGAATGATCTTAACTTTGAAAACAGCCATCTGAATTTGGCAAAGGGGACCCAGGGTCCTAATTTAAAAACTATGGGTGGTGGTGACTATTCATTGCTTTTAGAAAATACTGCCTTTACAGTGAATCAGAAAATCAGATTGTCTTGCTTTGTGACTTACTTTCAAGCTATTCCTTTTGCTCTGAATTCCATAATGTCTTCTCTTTTCTCTCCCTCCTGTTAACTAAATTTAAACTGCCATGAATGGTTCTTTTCCTTTCCTTTCTAACCTGTCTGCAGGTAGGAGGAAGGGGTGTGCGGTAGACACCCTCCATCACATTTCCACCGCCCTGTAGTATTGCTTCCATGTTCCTGAAAACTGAATGACTCAGTTGAAAACCACTCAAGCCCCTGTCTTCCCCGACTACCTTCTGTTCTCTGTAGCTTTATTATTCATTGTTTTAGCTCCCAGTGTGTGATGCGCTTTGCTCTTAACGTTTTTCACTAGAAAGTAGTACATGGATTTTGTTTCCTTTTCTTAAGTTCTCAGGCTTTACTCTATTTAATTGTTTAAATACTTCCGTTTCATGGCACACTGTGATCCTTGGTCCATTTAGAGTCTTTCATTTGTTTTTGTTTTATCATTTCCTCTATCTTCCATTTCTCTCTCAACACCTTCTTCCCATGCACACACAGACTTAGGCAGCCATTCTAGCGTATTTGTTCTTCCTAAACGACCTTTCCTTATATCTTCTTAGAAAATGTGTGTCTTTGAAAGATATGTCATCTTTTGCTTTTGTTGGACTTACCTAAATAAACACCACTGTGCTGTAAATCTCATGCTTTCTCTTTCTCCCTCAGCATTGTGTTTTTTAGTCAAACCATGTTGCTATATGAAAGTCTAGTTTCTTGCTCCTGGATATTACATTGTTCCCTAACAAAACACCGCAATTACTTAGCCAGTTTCCTGGGAATAGACCTCGGCTGGCCTGTAACTCCTAGCTTCCACAAAGTGTTGCACCAGACATATGTTTGGATGTCTCCTGTGGTCTTATACAAGAGTTTCTCTTAGGTAGATGGACAGACAGACAGACATGGGATTGCTGGGTCTTGGATACCCTCATGAACTCTGACTAAAAACTTCTACATTGTGGTAAGGAAGGGCTTCACCAGTTTCCTCCCACCAGGAGTGCGTGAAAAGCCCTTTCCCAACATCTAGAGCACTTACTATTACCTAATTTACTAATTTTTGTCTGGCTGGTAGGTTAAAGCAATATGCCATTTCTGTTTTAATTGGGCATCTCATCATATTGTTTTGTCACTTGTGAATTGCCTGTCCATCTCATTTGCCCTTCTTTTCTTTTAGGTTTCTGATATTTTTCTGTCTGGTTTATACCTATTCCTTATATCTTGGTATTCTCACCAGTAACATTAAAATGTTAAACCTTTGTTAGACCTAGATGTTGGAAGTCTTCTCCCAGTCTCGTCATCTGTCTATTAACCTCATTTACGGTCTCCTTTTTATTGTTATTAACAGTTTTATTGGGATATAATTTACGTATCATAAAATTCACCTGTTAAAGAATGCAATTTAGTGGTTTGTGGTATATTTACAGAATGTGTAACTCTAATTTTAGAACATTTTTATTAGTCCATGAGCAGTCACTCCAGTATCCTTCAGTGTGCCCCTCCCCAGCCCTGGGCAAGCACCAGTCTACTTCCTGTCTCTCTAGATTTGCCAATTTCTGGTCATTTTCATATAAACGGTATCTACCGTATGTGCTTTAATGTGACTGGCTTCTTTCACTTAGCATAAGGTTTTGGAGGTTTAGCTACATCATAGCGTATATCAGTAGTTTGTTCCTTTTTATTACCCAGTGGTAGCCCATCAGACAGATACACTGCATTTTGTTTATCGATTTCACCAGTTGATGGACATCTAGGTTGTTTCTATTTTTTGGCCATTATAAATAATGCTTCTATGAACATTCATGTGCGAAATTTTGTGTGAACATAGATTTTCATTTCTCTTGGCTATATATGCAGAAGTAGAATTGCTAGATTGTATGGTATCTCTATGTTTAAACTTTTGAGAAACTTCCAGATTGTTTTCCAGAGCAGCTGCAACATTTTACAGTCCTGCCAGCAGTTAATGAGGGTTCCAATTTCTACACACCCTCATCAACATTTGTTGTCTGTCTTTTTTATTACAGCCACCCTAGCTGGCGTGAAGTTGTAGCTCATTGTGGTTTTCATGTGCACTTCTCTGATGGTTAATGATGTTGAGCATCTTTTCATGCACTTATTAGCCTTTTGTATATCTTTGGAGGAATGTATTCAGATCTTTTTTAAGTTGGACTGTTTGTCCTTTATTATTGAGTTGTAAGGGTTCCTTATGTGTTCTTGATACTTGTCTGTTATTATACATATGAGTTGCAAATAGTTTCCCCCATTCTGTGTGTGTCATTTCAGTTTCTTGATGTTGTACTTTGAAATAAAATAACAGCTTTCAGTTTCAGTGAGGTTCAACTGATCAATTTTCCGTTTTATAGCTTGTGCTTCGTTGTCAAATCTAAGAAATCCTTGATTAACCCAAAGTCATAAAGAGTCACTCTTATGTTTATATCTAAGAGCTTTATAGCTTAACTCTCCCTCTTAAGCTTTATAGCTTAACTTTTTTTAACGTAAGTTTTTCAATTTTATGTAGTCTTATCCATCATTTTTCTCCTTTCAGTTTGTGCTATTTGCGTCTTTTTTAAGAAATTCTTTCCTACCTAAAGATCTTACCTTTTTTTTCTACCAATTTTATTATTTCTTCTTCTACATTTGCATATTTAACCCAATTGGATTTTGTTTACATTACTATGGCATTGTAATATGTCTTAGTATCTACCTTTTGTTCTTCTGTTTCAAACTCTCCTTAGGTTCTCATGGATTGTTCTTCTATAAACATTTAAAAATTTGTTTGGGAAGTTCGCAAGAAGTCCTCCTGATATTTTGATTGGAATGTCATTGAATAGGTTGATGCAGGAGGAATTGGTACCTTTAAATGTCAAGTTATCTCACCCATGAATATGTTCAATCTCTCTATTTATGCTTTCTTTTATATACTTAAAGGCTGAAGATTTTTCTCCACAAGGCTCTTACACATTCTTTATTATGGTAATTCCCAGGTTCAATATGATTACTATTATAAGCAGTATCTTACTTTATTACATTGCTGCCAGTTACATTCTTACATATTCTCTCTCCCTTTCCTTTTTTTTTCTTCTTTTTGGCTGGTTACTAACAGCAGTGGATTGTTTTTGTTTTTAGGTTGGTCTCATATCTGACTCCCTTTCTGAACTCCTACTCATTTTAATAGTTTTTCTGTGGACTCTCTTCAGAGTTCTATGCCAATAATTATGCCAGTAGCAAACACTTACAACTTTTGTCTCTTTCCTTCCAATTTTGTACTTCTTTTCCTTTTTGTGACCTCCTCATAGTGGCTACTGCCTCTGGAATTCTATTACGTGGTGATTGTCACAGCAGCCATCCTGCCCTGATCCATTTCTTAAATAGATACAGCTTCTCTCTTCAGTATGAAGTTAGTAATAGACTTCACCAGGGAAAGGAAATCTTTTTCCTCAGGATCTAAAGTACTGAGAAAAGTAAATAAAATTCCATGCCTTATTTTCTAATGAAAAATTTAATAACAGTGTATCACATGTCGTGGCTAAATCAGTGAAGAATCAAGCTACAAAGTAAAGGTGTTGAGGAAAACAGGGTCTTGGTGTCCTAATTCTTCTCTAGGAGTTGAGATTTTTAGATTAAATGTAATTAATTAATTTTTATTGAAGTACAATTGATACACAATATTATTGGCTTCAGGTATATAACATAGTGATGCAACAATTAGATACATTAGGAAATGCTCACCATGGAAAGTGTAGTTACCATCTGTCACTATACAAAGATATAACAATATTATCGGCTATTTTTTTCTGTGCTGTACT